TCCCGTGATCCAATCGAGCTGACATTTTCCACACAGACTCGTTGTGCGTGACAATTAATGTTCGTGAAATTTTTTTCCAAAATTTTACACTTTTTAGGACATCTGCATTGACTTTGAAACTGATTGGTCCACACCAAAGGCGTACAGCCTTTTGGCGTGCTCTGTTTCATTGCTTTTATGGCTTTATTTTGGTGATTTTCGAAAAGTTTTTTGGTTTGGCCATGTTTGTTTGTTGTAGTACAGAGTAAGACTGATGGCCTTAATCTAAGTTGTCTTGTGGTTGTTGTTGTTGTTTGACTTGCATCCCACTGGGATATTTGCACAGGGTTGGTGTACGGTGATTTTTCTGCAATATTTTGCTGTCTTTTCTTGGATTTTCTGTTTGCACTTAGTCACATAGTCACTTTAAGATGTTTTCTTGTTCATGTTTTTTGTTTATTGCGGTTGCACCCGATTCAAGAGCCGAATGGCTCACAGGGCTATACCTAATAAATGAACTTTGAAACTTTCAACTTTGGTCTAACACCGTTTTGAGACTAGGCTCGAAAGAAAGCCGTCTCTGGTGTGGACCAATCAGTTTCAAAGACAATGCAAATATTATCAGAGTATGTTTTTGTTTGCATTCTGACCACAAGTATTGTGGTTATTGCAGACATGATTCCTTGGAAAAGGTTTCAGTTTGGCGTTTTAACATCTTAACACAGCTGTTTTGTTGCCGGAAAAAAGGGGAAAACCTATTCTCACGTTTTGGTATTGGCAAAGAAGGTCCCATGATGATGTTTTATTGTTCCCAGCTGGCCATCACGAATGATAGCTCAACCACGTGGCTTTTCATCATCATCACGCGTAAACTCATATCAGCAGCCAAATAATCTCGACACGTGGAGGGAAAAACCGAAGGACCCCGAGACAAATCCATGCGACCACGCGGAGAGAGACACACGAACTCCAGATATACAGCAGCAGCAGCAGGCGTCAGGGTCGCGATCGAACCCACGACCTCCTGCATACCAGGCGAGGTAGTCAACATCTCTTATCCATCTTCTTGGTTCTTTCGGTAAAGTCACGTAGAATGGAAATAATAAAAATAATAAAAATAAAACATTATAAAATAATTCTCACGACGTGTCGGCCACAACGCAAGCAGCCGTCCTCAGGTGGAGAACAGGTCTGTCGAGAAGACTCAAGTCCTCCACCTGAGGACGGCTGCTTGCGTTGTGGCCGAAACGTCGTGAGAATTGTATTTTATAATGTTTTATTTGTATTATTTTATTATTTCCATTCTACGTGACTTTACCGAAAGAACCAAGAAGATGAATCCCTGCAGTCACAAAAGCTTTAAATCGAAAAAAAATCTCTTATCCACCTTGGCGCCCCAATCATTTACATCTCTTAAATGAATTCACTATCAGGTGAGGTGGGTGCCCTTGCTGTGCTGACGCTGTCCATATTTAGCCCAACTTAGAACTACAGGAAACACACAAACACAGGGAGTGCGCAATCAATCTATATTTGACCAAGGGTAAAACCCACGTAAAATTTTTATACAATTACATTTCGGTGAATCCGTGTCAACGTGAGTTTTTTCCTCTCCGGGCGTGATCATTTATTGCGTTTTAAAAATAGAAATTGTCCTTATGTCAGAAGTGTTGGCTTCATGCCACCATTACGATCATTGCGATGCACACAGAGCCTACGGGCAGCGGTTGTGGGTGGTGGTGGTTTGTAGTGGTGGTTGGTGGTGGTGGTGGTGGTTTGTAGTGGTGGTTGGTGGTGGTTTGTAGTGGTTGGTGGTGGTAGTGGTAGTGATTGGTGGTGGTGGTTGTGGTTGGTGGTGGTGGTTTGTAGTGGTAGTGGTTGGTGGTGGTGGTTGGTAGTGGTAGTGGTTGGTGGTGGTGGTTGGTAGTGGTAGTGGTGGTTGGTGGTGGTGGTTTGTAGTGGTAGTGGTTGTGGTGGTGGTGGTTTGTAGTGGTAGTGGTTGGTGGTGGTGGTTAGTGGTGGTTTGTAGTGGTAGTGGTGGTTGGTGGTGGTGGTTTGTAGTGGTAGTGGTGGTGGTGGTTTGTAGTGGTAGTGGTGGTGGTGGTGGTTGGTGGTGGTGGTGGTTGGTAGTGGTGGTGGTTGTGGAGGCTACGCTGCTGCAGGCGGCTTGCTGTAGAAATCCAGCGCGGCACTGCGAGTTGGTGGACCACGCACAGATTTCGGGCTCTCAATATTTCCTCCCTAAACCACGTGGCTTGACGTCAAGCAGGAACTCTACCCTGGCTCCACCACGAGAGAAAAACAACGACATTGTATCGTGACATTCTTCATTTCAGTTCTTGATTGCTTGTGGCTCTGCGTCGATGGCTTCCATCTTTCTTCCTCCATCTGATAATCATTCTATTGCTGCTTGTGACCGACGTTTTGCCTTTCGGCTTCAGGCTTGTGGTGTTGCAGAGCTATTGCACTCACTGCGGTCTTCGTGTCTTGACAGAGTTCATCTGGGTGTCGCTCCATCAGGATCAAAACAGACAATCTGTTGCTGATGTCAATCGTAACATTGTATAGCGATCTCGGAGATCTCAAACCTTGTAGGGCTTTCCGTTTTTTTGTTAGTCTCTTCAGCTTTATTTTCTTCTTAGAAACAAGAAGTTCGTGATCTGAACCGCAATCTGCTCCGGGGAGCAGTAACTGCTGACATTATTGCACTCTGCCATCGCTTCTTGATCAGGATGTAGTCAGTCGGGTTTCTCCACTGCCCAAGTGTGCAGGGTTATTTGTGCTTGCTTATGAAGAGGATTTGTATTGACCAGGTCATTGGCAGCACAACAATTGATCAAATGCCCCCCAGCATCATTACAAGGCCATGCTGTCCAGTTATCCAAGTTGTCCGCATGTCACCTACTCCTGCATTACAATCTCCCATTACTGGGGTAGTGGTAGTAACAGGGGTAGTGATGGGATAGTGATAGGGGTAGTGATAGGGGTAGTGATAGGGGTAGTGGTAGGGGTAGTGATGGGGTAGTGACAGGGGTAGTGACAGGGGTAATGATAGGGGTAGTGACATGGGTAGTGGTAGGGGTAGTGATAGGGGTAGTGATAGTGATAGGGGTAGTGATAGGGGTAGTGATGGGGGTAGTGATAGGGGTAGTGACATGGGTAGTGATAGGGGTAGTGATAGGGGTAGTGATGGGGGTAGTGATAGGGGTAGTGACAGGGGTAGTGACAGGCGGGGTGAGCAGGGATGGGTTTAAATTGATCACGTGAGAGTCACACCCGCGACGAATCCCATTCCCACGAATCACAGTGGGGATCATTCGATGCCCAGTTGATCTGAACCTCAGAACTTACCCTAAAATATATATATATGATACAGTCCCCGAGATACCAAAACGTGCGACTTACAAACACCCACACTTAAAAAACCTACAACTAGTTTATTTTTAGTGGCTAATGATCACCACGTGGATCGCAGCAGCCAACAACTCTAAACGCGTTGGTGCCGTTCAAAGGTCGCAACCGGGTACCCGATACCCGTACCCTACCCGATACCCGGCTACCCGTACCCGGCCGGGAACGGGTACGGGTAGGCCGTGAGTCACTGGTGAGTCACCGTTTGTCACTCATTTCGGGTAGGGTACGGGTAGGGAACGGGTACCTGTACCCGGCCGGGTACGGGTACCCATTTGCGACCCTGGTGCGGCCGGGTACAAGTACGGGTAAGGAATCAAAACCCGTTTGCGACCTCTGGTGCCGTTACACGCTTTCTATTAACTCACTCTGTCTGCTGCTGCTGTTGTTGTTGTTGTATCCTCAAATCTTGTAACTCAATTTTAACCCACTCCTCAATGTGGTATCGACTCCAAACTTGGTATACGTATGTCATACTGATGACAATACTATATTCTATCATAAAAAATAAAAATGTGAGATTTTTTTACATTCTTTGTTCTATGTTATGTTTCGGCTTGGGTCTAATTGTCCACGCTCATCTGACGTTGGCTGTAATTGGCCACGGCCCCCTTACGTTATGGCAAGTTTCGGGGCCACTTCCTGGAGTCGTTGAGTTCTGCCATTACTAGTACGGTACATTTCATGAAAGCGTGTTTTTAAAAAAGTTTTTTTTCAAATATATATTACTTATTGTTTATTGTGGAGAAAAGAAACGAGAGGACCCGGACGAAATATACACGTGACCACCACGGGGAGAGAGAGAGAGAGACACGCAAATTCGAAACGTACAGCAGGCGTCAGGTTCCGGGATCGAACCCACGACCTCCTGTATACCAGGCGAGGTAGTGAACATCTCCTAGCCACTACACTATGGGGACCTCATTTGCCAGTAAAAATATGATAATTGGTTCTTTACCCTTCTATCTGGCAACAAAACTGACACCTTTTTGCAAGGAGTCATGTTTGCATAGACCGCAATACCTGCAGTCATAAATACAAACAAAAGACATAACTCTGATAATGTGCACTGTCCTAGAAGTTGATTGGTCCACACCCGAGACAGCTTTCCTTCGAGCCTAGTCTCATATGGGTTGGACCAGATGACGCCAAAAGGCGCACAACTCAAGGACAATGCACCATCAGAGTATGAGACCAATCAACTTCTAGGACAGTGCACATTATCAGAGTTATGTCTTTTGTTTGTATTTATGACTGCAGGTATTGCGGTCTATGCAAACATGACTCCTTGCAAAAAGGTGTCAGTTTTGTTGCCAGATAGAAGGGTAAAGAACCAATTATCATATTTTTACTGGCAAATGAGGTCCCCATAGTGTAGATGCTTGCCCCGAGCTCTCATACTCTGATGGTGCATTGTCCTTGAGTTGTGCGCCTTTTGGCGTCATCTGGTCCAACCCATATGAGACTAGGCTCGAAGGAAAGCTGTCTCGGGTGTGGACCAATCAACTTCTAGGACAGTGCACATTATCAGAGTTATGTCTTTTGTTTGTATTTATGACTGCAGGTATTGCGGTCTATGCAAACATGACTCCTTGCAAAAAGGTGTCAGTTTTGTTGCCAGATAGAAGGGTAAAGAACCAATTATCATCTCCTAGCCACCGCAGGTGCATCGCTCGGCCAGTGATTTGAGTGAATGGTTGAATTTCGATTTAAAGCTTTTGCGACTGCAGGGATTCATCTTCTTGGTTCTTTCGGTAAAGTCACGTAGAAGGAAAATAATAAAATAATAAAAATAAAACATTCTAATATAATATAATAATATAATATAATTTTATTATGTTTTGTTTTAATTATTTTATTATTTTCGCGGCTGTGATAGACATCAACCATTCACCTACTTGGTTCTTTCGGTAAAGTCACGTAGAAGAAAAATAATAAAATAATAAAAATAAAACATAATAAAATAATATAACCCTAACCCTACGGTCCCTTACGTTATTATGTTTTATTTTTATTATTTTATTATTTTCCTTCTACGTGACTTTACCGAAAAAACCAAGAAGATGAATGGTTGAAGTCTATCACAGCCGCCACCCGAGTAGCATTGCGTGTGCGTGAGCAGACCGGTGGTGACACGAGATGTGAACTCCCTCGTCTGGCATGCAGGAGGTTTGATCCCGACCCTGACCCATCTCTGCTGTATATTTGGAATCTGCGTCTCTCTCCCCGTGGATTTTTATCCGGGCACTCCAGTTCCCCCTCCCCCCCCCCAACTCCACATTTAGAATGAACATCGCGCATTTCGAGTGATTAGGCTGCCGCTATAACAAACAAAAAACAATTTCCCCGCTCGTGATTTGAGTGAAATTGCAAGCGTCTGCATCGTTGAGTTCGCGTGCAGAACGGTGGCGGTGGCGAGTGCGCACCTTGTCGAGACGTGATCTACCCTCGCCTGGCGCGCACGAGGTCCCGATGTCATGGCGAGAGACTGCAGAGGTCGCAAACAGGTTTTGATTCCTTACCCATACCCGTACCAGGCCACACCAGGGTCGCAAATGGGTACCCGTACCCGTACCCGGCCGGGTACGGGTAACCGTTCCCTACCCGTACCCTACCCGAAATGAGTGACAAACGGTTACTCACCAGTGACTCACGGCCTACCCGTACCCGTACCCGGCCGCACCAGGGTCGCAAACGGCTACCCGTACCCGTACCTGGCCGGGTACGGGTAGCCGGGTATCGGGTAGGGTACAGGTATCGGGTAGGGTACAGGTATCGGGTAGGGTATGGGTATCGGGTAGGGTACAGGTATCGGGTAGGGTACAGGTATCGGGTAGGGTACGGGTATCGGGTAGGGTACAGGTATCGGGTAGGGTATGGGTATCGGGTAGGGTACAGGTATCGGGTAGGGTACAGGTATCGGGTAGGGTATGGGTATCGGGTAGGGTACAGGTATCGGGTAGGGTACAGGTATCGGGTAGGGTATGGGTATCGGGTAGGGTACAGGTATCGGGTAGGGTACAGGTATCGGGTAGGGTACAGGTATCGGGTAGGGTACAGGTATCGGGTAGGGTACAGGTATCGGGTAGGGTACGGGTATCGGGTACCCGGTTGCGACCTCTGCGAGAGAGTCAACATCCCCTAGCCACCGTGGCGCCCCTGCCTGGGTGTGGCGGCGTGGCGTTTGGCGTCACTCCCGAGGGCTCTCGGTGCCCTCCTGTGACAGGAGACGGCCATCGGGAGAGGCTGGAGGCTCCAGCTGACTGAACTTTCTCCTCCTGATCCTCTTCCTCCTCCTGCTCATGAGGAGGTAAGTGGCGCCGACCACGATCACCATCAGCGCCACGCCCGCCACGATGGTGCTGGGATCCGGCATCGGCATCACCACTGTGGAGGGACGACGGTGGGGGGGCGGTGGGGTGATGAGCGGGGTGATGAGCGGGTGAGGAGCCATAGACTCACCCATAATGGAAACAGACACACGGGAAGAGAGGGAGCTGCAAACTCGGTAGAGACACACACAGAGACACACAGACACAGACACACACAGACACACACACAGAGACACACACAGACACACACACAGAGACACACACAGATACATACAGACACACACAGACACACACACACAGACACACACAGAGACACACACAGACACACACAGACACACACACAGAGACACACAGACACACACACAGACACACACAGACACACACACAGACACACAGAGACACACACAGACACACACAGACACACACACACAGACACACACAGAGACACACAGGCACACACAGACACACACACACAGAGACACACAGGACACACAGACACACACACACACAAACACACACAGAAACACACACAAGACCACACAGACACACACAGACACACACACACAGAGACACACACAAGCACACAGATACACGGAAAGAAAGAGTGAGAGAGAGAGCGAACACGCAACCTCCAAATGTACAACAGGCGTCGTCAGGGTCCGGGATCGAACCCATCTCGCCCACTGAGAGAGAGAGAAGTCGCAGTCACCTTTGGAGGTGACCGTCAGCGTGATGGTCTTCGTCAGGTCGTTGTAGAACGCTGCACACGAATACTCGCCGGCGTCCACGTGACTCACGGGAGACACGCGGACCGAAGCGTCACCTCTGCTCAGGTCTCCCACCCACGCCACGTTGCTGACGAACGAAGTCGCCTTCTTGTCGAACACGAGGATCTGGCGTGGGGACGGGGGGGGGGTGCAATTGACGACGTTGAGACGCACTTGGCGTCTGTGGTGAACAGAGGTTGGGTGGGTGAGTGGGTGCGTGAGTGGGTGGGTGAGTGAGTGGGTGGGTGTGCGAGTGGTTGAGTGGGTGAGTGCGTGAGTGGGTGGGTGGGCGTGTGGGTGAGTGCGCGAGTGGGTGGGTGGGTGGGTGGCGGAGTGGTTAAGTGAGTTGGCGAGTGAGTGTGTGGGTGGGTGAGTGAGTGCTTCAATGTGTGAGTGGGCCAGTGAGTGTGAGTGTGTGGGCGAGTGAGAGAGTGGGTGGGTGAGTGGGTGGGTGAGTGCGTGAGTGGGTGGGTGGGTGAGTGCGTGAGTGGGTGGGTGCGTGAGTGGGTGGATGGGTGAGTGGGTGAGTTGGCCAGTGAGTGTCTGAGTGGGCCAGTGAGTGTGTGAGTGCTTGAGTGGTTGGATTAGTGTGTGAATGGGCGAGTGGGAGAGTGGGTGGCTGAGTGGTTGAATGGGAGAGTGGTTGAGTGGGGGAGTGGTTAAGTGAGTTGGCGAGGGAGTGTGTGGGTGGGTGAGTGATGTGTGAGTGGACCAGTGATCGTTAGTGGGCCAGTGAGTGTGAGTGTGTGGGCGAGTGGGAGAGTGGGTGGAGGAGTGGTTGAGTGGGTGATGGAGTGAATGAGTGAATGTGTGGGTCGGTGAGTGAGTGTTCCAGTTTGTAAGAGCTGGAGTGGATGGATTAGTGAATGAGTGGGCGAGTGAGTGGTTGAGTGATTGAGTAAGTGTGTAAGTGGTTGAGTGAGTGAATGAATGAGTGTCATTCACTCACACCTGCCAACTTTAAAAAAGAGTTCTTAGCTCAATCAGAGCTTCACTCGATGGGAGACACTCCTGGGCGCCACGGTGGCAAGGAGATGTTAACTACCTCGCCTGATATGCAGGAGGTCCTGGGTTCGATCGGAACCCTGACGCCTGCTGTATATCTGGAATTTTCGTGTCTCTCTCTCCCCGTGGTCTTGTGGATTTCTCTCCGGGTCCTCCGGCTTTTCCCTCCACGTTTAGAAAACAACATCGTGCCTTTCGAGTGTTTGGCTGCCGTTCATTTCCCCGCGACAAGCCACTTCCGTTGAGCTATAATCTGTGATGGCCGGCTCGCTTCTAAAAACAAAGTGCTACACATCTCAATGGGGCCTTACCTAAAAAACAAAACGAGATGGTTAAATTGTTAAAGTCATGTAGGTTTTTGGGTGAGATCGCGTTATTTATAAATGTGTCGTAACCCTCCACCATCCGACACGGCCAATCAGTAAAAAATGTGATCATTGGTTTTTTACCCTTCTATCTGGCAACAAAACTGACACCTTTTTTTACAAGGAGTCATGTTTACATAGACCACAATACCTGCAGTCATAATGCAAACAAAAAACATAACTCTGATAATGTGCACTGTCCTTGAAGTTGATTGGTCCAGATGACGCCAAAAGGCGCTCCTTTTGGCGTCATCTGGTCCAACCCATGTGAGACTAGGCTCTAAGGAAAGCTGTCTCGGGTGTGGACCAATGAACTTCAAGGACAGTGCACATTATCAGAGTTTTTTGTTTGCATTATGACTGCAGGTATTGTGGTCTATGTAAACATGACTCCTTGTAAAAAAGGTGTCAGTTTTGTTGCCAGATAGAAGGATAAAAAAACAATTATCATATTTTTACTGGCAAATGAGGTTCCAATGGAGTAAAAAATGTGTCACGTTTTTCAAAGGACAAAATAATTCACTCCTTTAGCCCACCATATTGGTCGCGAAAGCCTACGTGTTAAATTAAATAGTTAAAGATTAACTTCTTTTGCACCATCGCACCTGTTTGCTCGATTTGTTTGCCGATATTCTCTCCCAGGTGATCATTTCGCCCGCGGGGATGGACTCCTCGAAGATGCACGGCAGGAGAGCGTCGGAGCCGTCTTCTGCCGTGACGTGGCTCTGAGCCAGGGCTGAGCCTGCCCAGGCCAGAGCCATGAACGTCCCTGAAGTGAACACGAGAGGCGAGAAGTCGTCACACGACAGTCTGACACGGTGGGGTCGCGTCGTGTGCGGGTGGAACGCGGGAGTGGTGATGGTCGCTGCGAGGAGAGGGAGGCCTGGGTTCGAATCCTGACTTGGGTGGAGTTTGTATCATCTCCCACTGTTCTACAGAGTGAGTGAGTGGAGTTTCTGCAGAGTGAGTGAGTGGAGTTTGTGTGATCTCCCACTCACTCTGTAGAAACTCCACTCACTCACTCTGTAGAACAACAGAGAGAGTGAGTGGAGTTTCTACAGAGTGAGTGAGTGGAGTTTGTATGATCCCCCCCTGTTCTACAGAGTGAGTGAGTGGAGTTTATATGATCTCCCTCTGTTCTACAGAGTGAGTGAGTGGAGTTTGTATGATCTCCCCCTGTTCTACAGAGTGAGTGGAGTTTCTACAGAGTGAGTGAGTGGAGTTTGTGTGATCTCCCCCTGTTCTACAGAGTGGAGTTTGCATGATCCCCCCCCCCTGTTCTACACAGTGAGTGAGTGTAGTTTGTATGATCTCCCTCTGTTCTACAGAGTGAGTGGAGTTTGTATGATCTCCCCCTGTTCTGCAGAGTGAGTGAGTGGAGTTTGTATGATCTCCCCCTGTTCTACAGAGTGATCTCCCCAGACTCCAAATATACAGCAGCAGGCATCGTCAGGGTCGGGATCGAACCCACGACCTCCTGCACACCAGGCGAGGTAGTCAACATCTCCTAGCCACCGTGATGATGATGATAAGAGAGAGAGACACGCAGACTCCAACTCTACAGCAACAGGCATCGTCAGGTCGGGATTGAACCCACGACCTCCTGCACACCAGGCGAGGTAGTTAACATCTCATAGCCACCGCGGGCTTCCAAATCGAACGAAATCTCTCCGTGAGCCACCAAATCGTCGCCTCCACGCAGATGAGTCGGAGGGACGCCGAGCGGCAGTCTTCGTCCGGAATGAACTCGTTCTTGAATATGTCTTTTGCGAAGCAAAATAAAAAAAACCCGTTTTCCCGGTCTTTGGCAGAGATATTTTCGTCGTTGTTGTTGTTCTGTACTTAGCGGTGACCAGGCCACGGGTGCGATATGGCGCTTGGTGCAGAGGGGGGGGGGGGGGGGGTTGCGGTGCGAATCTGGCAGACCACCCTAGCAAATACTGCGGTGGGTATGAGCAATGGGCGGCATTTAGTCTGTGGGCAGTGTTGAGTCTATGGGTAGTGTTGAGTCTATGGGCAGTGTTGAGTCTATGGGCAGTGTTGAGTCTATGGGCAGTGTTGAGTCTATGGTGCAGTGTTGAGTCTATGGGTAGTGTTGAGTCTATGGGCAGTGTTGAGTCTATGGGCAGTGTTGAGTCTATGGGCAGTGTTGAGTCTATGGGCAGTGTTGAGTATATGGGCAGTGCTGAGTCTATGGGCAGTGTTGAGTCTATGGTGCAGTGTTGAGTCTATGGGTAGTGTTGAGTCTATGGGCAGTGTTGAGTCTATGGTGCAGTGTTGAGTCTATGGGCAGTGTTGAGTCTATGGGCAGTGTTGAGTCTATGGGCAGTGTTGAGTCTGTGGGCAGTGTTGAGTCTATGGTGCAGTGTTGAGTCTATGGGTAGTGTTGAGTCTATGGGCAGTGTTGAGTCTATGGTGCAGTGTTGAGTCTATGGGCAGTGTTGAGTCTATGGGCAGTGTTGAGTCTGTGGGCAGTGTTGAGTCTATGGTGCAGTGTTGAGTCTATGGGCAGTGTTGAGTCTAAGGGCAGTGTTGAGTCTATGGGCAGTGTTGAGTCTGTGGGCAGTGTTGAGTCTGTGGGCAGTGTTGAGTCTGTGGGTTGTGTTGAGTCTATGGGCAGTGTTGAGTCTATGGGCAGTGCTGAGTCTATGGGCAGTGTTGAGTCTGTGGGCAGTGTTGAGTCTATGGGCAGTGTTGAGTCTATGGTGCAGTGTTGAGTCTATGGGCAGTGTTGAGTCTGTGGGTTGTGTTGAGTCTATGGGCAGTGCTGAGTCGTGGTGGTGTTGATGGTGATGATGGTGATGATGGTAATCGTCGTGGTGGTGGTGATGATGGTGCTACTCGCCATAACAGCACTTGCCCCAGGCGGTCTGTCGCAGAGGCCGTTCAGGGCTATGCGGGTGAGCTTTGTCTTTGCCCGGCACGAGGGGAGTTTAGGGGATTTCCCGAGCCAGAGGCGGGCGTCTTGAGGACGAACGCCGCCCCTCTCGTCACGCCACCGCGGTGTTTTTATTTTATTTTAAAAACAAACTACTCAATGAAGACGCGCCGAAATCCGCGTAAGCGAAACTCCTATCGGAGTTCCCCCTCTGGCGGAGATTCCAGAGAGAGGAGGAGAGAGGGGAGAGAGAGATCACTTGTCCAGACAAGGTTGTGTACCCTGCCTTGGAGTCTGTGTCGTGATGAAAACACAATGGGCGAAATTTGTCCTCTGGCAATTATAGAGAAGCTGTTGATTTATTTCCGTTTAAAACAAAAATGCAAACTCCGCTGACTCATTCTGACTCTGTAAAACAGGGGGAGATCAATCCAACTCCACTCAATCTGTAAAACAGGGGGAGATCAATCAAACTCCACTCACTCTGTAGAGCAGGGGGAGATCATACAAACTCCACTCACTCTACAGAACACGGGGAGATCATACAAACTCCACTCACTCTACAGAACAGGGAGAGATCATACAAACTCCACTCACTCTACAGAACAGGGGGAGATCACACAAACTCCACTCACTCTACAGAACAGGGGGAGATCATACAAACTCCACTCACTCTACAGAACACGGGGAGATCACACAAACTCCACTCACTCTACAGAACAGGGGGAGATCACACAAACTCCACTCACTCTACAGAACAGGGGGAGATCACACAAACTCCACTCACTCTACAGAACAGGGGGAGATCATACAAACTCCACTCACTCTGTAGAGCAGGGGGAGATCATACAAACTCCACTCACTCTACAGAACAGGGGGAGATCATACAAACTCCACTCACTCTGTAGAACAGGGGGAGATCATACAAACTCCACTCACTCTGTAGAACAGGGGGAGATCACATAAACTCCACTCTGTAGAACAGGGGGAGATTATTCAAACTCCACTCACTCTGTAGAACAGGGGGAGATCATACAAACTCCACTCACTCTGTAGAACAGGGGGAGATCATACAAACTCCACTCTCCAGAACATGGGGAGATCATACAAACTCCACTCACTCTGTAGAACAGGGAGAGAGCATACAGACTCCACATACACACTCACCCAACAAGAATCGCCGTTCACCACGAGGAGGTGATATTACTATGGGGCTTGTGCCAGGTTAGGTGCACCTTGAGGCCACGTGACGTGTCAAAGGCTCGCTGGCAGGAGGTCACGGGACAGACCCAGATGCCATGGGTTGACTGCCTGAGATGACCGGCCGATTCACCACCTGTACCCCCTTACGCGCCCACTGACTGCATTTTATCGCCCAGCGCTCCGCTCGTTGTTGTGAGCGTCGCTCCTCCGCCCTCTGTTGTAGTTGGAGGGCGACTGCCTCCAACTGCCCAGCCACGTCCTTCACGAGCCTCCTCCACTGAGGCCGATCTTGACACCGCTGGTACCAGTCATCGGCAAGTCCACTCAGCTCCACGTCCTCCTGTACCGCATCAGCTCCATCTCTTCTCTAGCCTGTGTCGTGCCCATTTAGCCCCCTCGATACGGCCAAACAGAAGCTGTCTCGGCATGCGGTGGCTGGGCACGCGGGCTACACGACCCAGCCAATGCAGCAGCCTCGCTTGCCGGAGGAGCTCACCGATGGGACTGTGTTCAGATCTTTCAAGGATTTGTGAGCTCCTCACACAATCCAGCCTGCTGGTTAAACCCAGGCAGGTAGCTTCTACACAGCGTCACGCAGCTGATGCAATGTTGATGCCGCCCGACTGTTTCGGAGCGAGACCTCTGCTGTCACAACCATCTCCACCACCACCACAAACAGCTTAAATTCCATCACGTCGACCACCACGTCCACCACCTCCACCACCACCACGTCCACCACCTCCACTACCACGTTCACCACCTCCGCCACCACCACCATCTCCGCCACCACCACCGCCTCCGCCACCACCACCACGTCCACCACCACCATCTCCGCCACCGCCACTACCACCTCCACCGCCACCACCACCACATCCACCCCCACTACCGCCACCACCTCTACCACCACCACCACCTCTACCACCACCACCACCTCTACCACCACCACCGCCACCACCTGCACCACCACTACCACCACCACCTCCGCCACCACCATCACCACCGCTACCACCACCGCCACCACCACCACCGCCACCACCACCACCACCGCCGCCACCACCACCACCATCACCACCTCCGCCACCACCACCACCACGTCCACCCCCACCACCACCTCCACCACCACCACGTCCACCACCTCCACTACCACGTTCACCACCTCCGCCACCACCACCACCATCTCCGCCACCACCACCACCTCCGCCACCACCACCACCACCACGTCCACCACCACCATCTCCGCCACCGCCACTACCACCTCCACCGCCACCACCACCACGTCCACCCCCACTACCGCCACCACCTCTACCACCACCACCACCTCTACCACCACCACCGCCACCACCTGCACCACCACTACCACCACCACCTCCGCCACCACCATCACCACCGCTACCACCACCGCCACCACCACCACCACCGCCACCACCACCGCCACCACCACCACCGCCACCACCGCCACCGCCGCCACCACCACCACCTCCGCCACCACCATCACCACCGCTACCACCACCGCCACCACCACCACCACCACCGCCACCACCTCCGCCACCACCACCACCACGTCCACCCCCACCACCACCTCCACCACCACCACCTCCACCACCACCACGACCACCACCACGACCACCACCACGACCACCACCACCACCACCACGTCCACCACCACCACCATCTCCGCCACCGCCACCACCACCGCCACCACCACCGCCGCCACCACCACCGCCACCACCACCACCGCCACCACCACCGCCACCACCACCACCGCCACCGCCACCACCACCGCCACCACCACCACCGCCACCACCACCACCACCACCTCTACCACCACCTCCACCACCAGCAGCAGGCATCACACCCGACTCACCCAGGATGATCACCGTGCCGTGCTGGGTGGAGGAGCCCATTGCGAGTCGCTCCCTGCCAGAGACTCGCGCCTCTCTGCGAGTTCCGATCTGACGGTCACGCACACACGACGGACTGGGTGAGCACTGATCACTCACCACTCACTCATTTACTCACTCACCCATCACTCACCCATCACTCACCACTCTCACTCACCCATCACTCACTCCTCTCACTCACCTATTACTCATTGACTCACCCATCACTCACCCTTCACTCACCCTTCACTCACCCTTCACTCACTCCTCTCACTCACCTATTACTCAATGACTCACCCATCACTCACCCTTCACTCACCCCTCTCACTCACACAACCATCACTCACCCTTCACTCACCTCTCACTCATTTACTCACCCATCACTCACTCATCACTCACCCATCACTCACCCTTCACTCACCCCTCTCACTCACGCATCACTCACCCCTATCACTCACCCATCACTCACTCACCCATCACTCACCCCTCCCACTCACTCACCTCCCACTCACCCATCACTCACCTATCATTCACCCATCACTCACCCCTCCCACTCACTCACCTCCCACTCACCCATCACTCACCTATCATTCACCCATCACTCACCCGTCTCACTCACTCACCCATCACTCACCTCCCACTCACCCATCACTCGCCCCTATCACTAACCTGTCACTCACCCCTATCACTCACCCTTCACTCACCCCTCTCACTCAACTGTCACTCACCCCTCTTACTCACCCCTCTTACTCACCTCTCTCTCTCTGTGTGAGTCTCTCTCTGTGAGTCTCTCTCTGTGAGTCCCTCTCGTCCACTCGATCCGCCCCCCTCCCTCCCGCCTCCCCCAATACCTCACGCAGCTGAGCCGGCTCAGGCTGCTACTGCTGCTGCCTCTGAGAGGCACGCGGAAGCCGCCGCCTCCGTCTCCAGGTGCAGCACGGCCACTCTGGACTTTGTCGTCGATTGCCCCGCGGGGAAACAACCCCCCGCCGCGTCATCGCAGGCGAGGCGCAGTAGGGGGGGGAGCAACACCTACTGCGCCAACAATTACGAGCATTCGACTTACGAACGCTCAGAGATACCAACACAACCTGGCCCCGTGTGACTGGGCTCTAAAGATGGCCGCCTCTGGTGTAGAACAATCCAAATTAAGTAGAACAATTCGTTTCAAAGACGAGGGATGGATCACCGGAGGATGTGTTTTGTTGGTTTGCATGTTCACCACAAGTACGTGTGGTTATGTCGACATGATTCGTTGCAACATGTTTCTATTTGGGGCCGTCCATAAATGACGTCACGCGATTTTGGACGATTTTTGACCCCCCCACCCCCATCGTCACACGGCGTCACAAAAAGTCAGACCCCCCCCCCTCAAATATGACGTCACAAAGCTCTGCCCCCCCCCCCCCAAAAATAAAACATACTTCAAATCGCTTTAAACTATTGTCATTGTAGTGCGTATTTAATGTGGTGCTGCACTCTGATGTTGTAGGAGAAAACATTTATTAAGACGTCTATTTAATTAAGTAGAACGTGTTGTCTATATTGATTTAAAGTTGTGCATTTTGATGTCACGTCACATTTCTCAAAACTCCCCCCCCCCCCCCGCCATTTATGGACGCCCCCTTTGATGTTTGAACACCTGAACACCTCCTGTTTTATTGCCAGAGAGGGTGAAACCTATTCTCAGACCGTGCACGTGTGTCCAGTTGTGGCTGTTCACGACGCCGTTGCCTGTTACAAGTTCACTAATGAAGAGAAGAATTGAGCAAACTCTGTAGACATCTCCTGGTGAGTTTTCAAGAGAGGAGAGAGGAAACACGAGCACCAAAGGGTATCAGCATCTACAGAACACGAAATACCAGTTGCATCTACATCTGTAGAACACGAAGAGCCAGTGGCATCTACAGAATATGAAGAACCAGTGGCATCTACATCTACAGAACACGAAGAACCAGTGGCATCTACAGAATATGAAGAACCAGTGGCATCTACATCTGTAGAACATGAAGAACCAGTGGCATCTACATCTGTAGAACATGAAGAACCAGTGGCATCTACAGAACACGAAATACCAGTTGCATCTACATCTGTAGAACACGAAGAACCAGTGGCATCTACATCTGTAGAACATGAAGAACCAGTGGCATTCACATCTACAGAATATGAAGAACCAGTGGCATCTACATCTGTAGAACATGAAGAACCAGTGGCATCTACATCTGTAGAACATGAAGAACCAGTGGCATTCACATCTACAGAACATGAAGAACCAGTGGCATTCACATCTACAGAATATGAAGAACCAGTGGCATCTACATCTGTAGAACACGAAATACGAGTTGCATCTACATCTGTAAAACACGAAGAACCGGTGGCATCTACAGAATATGAAGAACCAGTGGCACCTACAAAATATGTAGAACCAGTGGCATCTACATCTACAGAACACGAAGAACCAGTGGCATCTACAGAATATGAAAAACCAGTGGCATCTACATCTGTAGAACATGAAAAACCAGTGGCATCTACACATCTGTAGAACGTGAAGAACCAGTGGCATCTACAACTACAGAACACGAAGAACCAGTGGCATCTACACATCTGCAGAACGTGAAGAACCAGTGGCATCTACATCTACAGAACACGAAAAACCAGTGGCATCTACAGAACACGAAGAACCAGTGGCATCTACAGAATATGAAGAACCAGTGGCATCTACATCTGTAGAACATGAAAAACCAGTGGCATCTACATCTACAGAACACGAAAAACCAGTGGCATCTACATCTGCAGAACATGAAGAACCAGTGGCATTAACATCTACAGAATATGAAGAACCAGTGGCATCTACATCTACAGAAGGTGAAAAATCAGTGGCATCTACATCTGTAGAACATGAAGAACCAGTGGCATCTAAATCTGCAAGAGATTATACAACTTCTAAAGCTATTCCCCATGTTTAGTAAAGTTCCGCTTACGAATAAATGGACTTACGAACAGACCTCTGGAACCGAACGCGTTCCTAAGTAGAGGAGTCAATGTACACACTTTGCAGCAAATCGCTTGCAGGAGTTCTAAAATAAATAAATATGTTTAATACGTAGGCCTTCACGACCAATGTGATCCCTTTCATACTCGAATTGCCAATGTTGTAGTGGGTTTGCTCTCCAACATACAACCGGTTAGTGCTGTACTAGTGAATAATTGTACACGTTTTGTTTCCGTGACAAACATTATTTAATTGGCTGTGTCGGGTGGTGGTGGCGGGTTTAGCGACTTTTATATTTACTATCTAACCCAACATCTCTATTGTAGGAAATTAATAAATAACAAACGGTGGCTACGGAATTCATATAATCGTGAGGAATATTCTCGACTGACAAGTTTTTCTGTATTTTCTATATTTCAAAAATGTAAAACCCGATATTTTCGTGATCCCCTACGAGTACCATTCTAATCGCTGTCACTCGATCCTCAATCCCTGCACCGATTGTCCCCCTGTCAACTTAATCATTCCATTCTGTCACGGCTTCGTAAGCTGCGTCAAGCGCCTTGCGTGAGGGACCCTCTGTATAAATAAAACAATTCAAATATCTTCTTGGTTCTTTCGGTAAAGTCACGTAGAAGGGAAATAATACAATAATAAAAATAAAACATAATAAAATAATTCTCACGACGTTTCGGCCACAACGCAAGCAGCCGTCCTCAGGTGAATAACAGGTCAGGTGAAGAACAGGTCTGTCGATAAGACAGAGTCAGACTCTGTCTTCTCGTCAGACTGTCGCGAAAGCCTACGTGTTAATCTGACTATATGATGCATTGTCCTTGAAACTGATTGGTCCACACCAGAGACAGCTTTCTTTTGACCACAAGTATTGTGGTTAATGGTTAATGCAGACATGATTCCTTTTAAAAAGGTTTCAGTTTTGTTGCCAGAAAAAAGGGGAAAAACCCTATTATTATCCTTTGGAACTGGCAAAGGAGGTCTAATGAACGAGGTTCTTGTTTGCCAGGTCCACACCGCAGAATAAAACTCAACTCTATTTTATGTCACCATGTGTACAGCCCCACGACTGAGCTGCGATGTAGTCGTAGCGCTTTCTCAGAAGTTCTGACCTGGCAATCACAAATTATAGCTGCTCACCGAAGTGGCTGATATCATCATCACCACGTGGTAGCTCTTGCAATCTCTCATTTACTTGATACAGTTGTCGTGGCTGTGACGGTTCCACCTGAAGACGGAAGCTTGTGTTGCCTCCGAAACGTCGTGATTTTTATTTTTATTTTATTTTACTTTTATAAATTTTAATGTTTTACCCACGTGACTTTACCGAAAAAACCTAAGAATATGTATAGCAGCAGCCAAATTAATCTCTAAAACGCCTGACGCCGATTCTAAATGTGGACGGGAAGTCCCGAGGAGAACCCGGAGGAAAATCCACGGGACCACGGAGAGAGAGAGACAGAGAGAGACGCAGACTCCAAATCTACAGCAGCAGCAGGCATCGTCAGGGTCGCGATGGAACCCACGACCTCCTGCACACCAGGCGATGTAATTAACATCTCACCACGGGGAGAGAGACGCAGACTCCAAATCTACAGCAGCAGCAGGCATCGTCAGGGTCGCGATGGAACCCACGACCTCCTGCACACCAGGCGATGTAATTAACATCTCACCACGGGGAGAGAGACGCAGACTCCAAATCTACAGCAGCAGCAGGCATCATCAGGGTTGCGATGGAACCCACGACCTCCTGCACACCAGGCGATGTAGTTAACATCTCACCACGGGGAGAGAGACACAGACTCCAAATCTACAGCAGCAGCAGGCATCGTCAGGGTCGCGATGGAACCCACGACCTCCTGCACACCAGGCGATGTAATTAACATCTCACCACGGGGAGAGAGACGCAGATTCCAAATCTACAGCAGCAGCAGGCATCGTCAGGGTCGCGATGGAACCCACGACCTCCTGCACACAAGGCGATGTAGTTAACATCTCACCACGGGGAGAGAGACGCAGACTCCAAATCTACAGCAGCAGCAGGCAACGTCAGGGTCGCGATG